AGGCGAGGATCGATTGAATGGCCAGCGCGATCACCTGATCTTACATTATTAGATTTCTTTTTATGGGGATATGTGAAGAGCCATGTGTACAAAACTAAACCTTCTGATTTAAATGACTTAAAAGAACGAATAACGCTTGCGATTAGGTAGATCACGCCTGTTATGTTAAATAATGTTAGAAGACAGTTTTATTTGAGATTAGGATGTTGCCAAGACGTTCGCGGTGAACATTTTGAACATCTACTTCATTAACATTCATAGTTCTTTTTCGTGTTCTACATTTTATTACGTTTTGCATTACATTTTAGTTTTTGATTGTATTGTAGCGAATTTCGGTAACCACATGATTTTAATTTATTTTATCTTAATTAATCTTAATAAACTTAAGAGCGACAACATTTTTGAATGGAGAATGAAAAGACCTTTCAAACGATATATCACAAGCCTATACTTCCTATTTTAAAAATTGGGGGTTGTACCTGTCATTCTAAGGGGGTTGAAGGTAGGGGTTGCATTTTCACGTTAAAGAATGTCAAGTTATAATTTAAATTTGACGTGTTTCGGGATTTTTTGTAAATATGTACAGTAACCTAAATAATTATTCCATTAATTTATTCCATTTGGCTTTTACACACTGTATGTAAATACCAAATTACGCTACAATTATCTTTAAAAATATACATTTATATTCCTAATTTACTGCGTTTCTATTACACTAACGATACAAACAAACATTACTCAAATAATATCATTAAAAAATAGAAAATAGTTTGAAGCATAGGTAATTAAAATTTATAATTTTGTTGGTTGTTTTTGAGTCGCATCGAAAACTCAAATAATTGTAGGTATATTGTCACATGAAACAATACAACTCGTGCGCAAGTACATATTTTATTTGAACTCTTCTTACATACATATTTTGGGTACCTATATTTGAAATTATTTCTTCTTAATGTAGGTAAGTAAAACTATAATTCTATAAGGACATACGTTCCTCATCATACGTTTTCTATTGGTTTTTGTGTACCAAAGTCAACAATAACATGATGTACACAATGACACAGATTGTGTATGTTTGTAGGCGCGCTCGTGAACTCAAAATAATTGCTGCTTGAAGTGCTGGATCAACTTGCTTAAAAACATTTTATTGTTTTTATTTTTATAGACAATTTCTATATTATGCAACTGCTTCTTCTTCTTTCGATTGGATATTTATTTATTTATAAATCTCAACCCACCCTGCAGGACTAGGGCGCTAATTAGAAATATATTCATGATTATTATAAATAGCAAACAGCTCAGGATATTTTCTTGTTGCACTCTTGAAATGCAGAGTTCAAGTTTACAAATGCTAGTACTAGTGCCCCCCTGTGTACAATTTTCTTTCTATTATGCTTCTTTAGTACAAAAATATTATCCGTTGTCTGTCTGTTTTTTAAAGACGCTTTATTATTCTAGATTTTTTTCAATTTTAGCTTTAAACAGTCTTAATCCCTTTTGGGATGTGGTGGTACCATCAGGCCTTTACAGTTTTTTCACGATTTTCCTCCATCCTTCTCTGTCCTGGACTAGTTGTTCAGCTTCATGCAACCCTTGGTTAATCAATATTTTGATTGATCTACCCAACGGCTTTGAGATCTTCCCCTAGGTCTCTTTCCTTCAACTCTACCCTCGACTATCCTTTCTATCGTACCTGTTCTTCTAGCAATGTGTCCAAAAATACTGCAAATATCTCTGTTGTATTTGTTTAAGCAATATATCCTTTACTTTAAGTTCTTCTAATATCGATACGTTATTGCAATGATCAATCCAGGATATTCTTAACATGCGGCTATACCCACATTTCAAAAGCGTCTAGTTTATTTTTATCCGCTTTCTTTAAGATCCACGTTTCGGATGCATAAATCTCATGTGGCTATGGGTTAGTAATAGTCAACCTTCTACGTATCTCTCTGTCACACCCTCCGTCATTTGTTATTAGGGACCCTAATATATGAATCTATTTACTACTTCGAAGCCCCCAATTATACATGTATAAAACTCTCTTTTTTATTTTACTGTCAAAAAATTTAAAGCCCTGTTTCAAAATGATGATCCATTTTTTCATTATTTCAAATATTTAATATTTATTTAATTTTATATAGAAACACTAACAATTTTATTGCAAAACTTTGTCCGTTGGTCAGCCATTTTTTTAGTAGGTAGAAATTTTTTAAACAAACATTTTAGGTTAAGTTAATAATATATAAATAATAATAAATTACTTGTATCACACATAATTACGAAAAAAATACCAAAGAAAGTCTAGTTAATAAAGAAAAAGAATATGAAAAATAAAGAAAAAAGAAAAAATCTCAATTATCAAATCAATTTTTTTAATCGATTATTATTATGATACCTATTCGAAAAGGCACAACGAAGTGATGTTAATGTAAGTGATACACGCTCTAAATAATTTAAAGAGAATAAATATTATTTTATAAATTTTCCAAAGCCTTTATATATATTTATTAAATAAAGAATGCATATTTAATAAATATATTTTTATATTAAACCAGTAATACGACATTTATGACGTATACTATATTATACCATTAAAATTAGTAGTAGTTTTTGTGGGCAGATGGCGCTGGCGTTTTCATTACGGAAAGACAGACAGAATAAGCAGATTATAAAATTGATAAAAACTTAAAATAAAAACTTTTATGTTATTATTAATATATTTCCACATTCTACGCTTGCCGGATAGTTTATATTTTGACGAAGTAAGTCTAAAACGTTAATCACAAAAACTTTTTTTCATCCATTAACTTCGAGTTTTTTATTGAAGTTAACTTATTTCCTTCATCTACAAAAAGGTTTTCTTGGCTTATTTCAGATGCCCCTGAAGATGCTATTTTAAGCGAAAGTACTTGGGCTAGATTTAATTAACTTGTACTCGATAATAGCCTTATTTTTCAAAGTTCATTTATTCGAGCATTCAACCTCATTTCAATTAAGATACTGATTGTTAACATCAACTTAATTCCAAAAACACCTTTTTCACTCTTTAAAAAAAACTGGTTGAAATAATTAGTGTAAATGGCGGAAAAAAATGGCTTTAGAAAATGTGGATTTTCCTCTAAAGCAAAGGAAGTACTAACCAGAATTCCAAACTATAAAACTGATGCTGTGAAAGTACCTTCGAGAGTAAGTGATGCTGTTTTAAATTTTCTTGCAGAAAAAAGGGGATTACAGTCCACAACTGATGGAGTTGTTAAAAGAATAAGAAAAATAGAAATTGCAGCAGAAAAAAGTATCTGTGCTGAAGATGCTAAAGCCAACAAGATGCTGCAGTTGCAAAAAAGCGGCTAAGAAGAAGCCAGTAAAAGAAAATGGCACTACAAGAAAATCAAAAACGAAAACTGGAATGGCAGCAAAACGTAACATTGGAAGAAAAACTGAACAGTCGAGCAATCAATCAATAATCAGATTTGCGAAACAGAGAAAGAAAATCTACAAAATGAGGTCCTCGGAGACGTTAATAACGAAGTTGTATTTAGCAGTAGCCTAGATCAAGAAATCTCTGAACAAGCGACCATTGCTGCAGCTGGCTCTAGTGAATTGTCTAAACATAAGATGGTAAAAAAAACAAAACGTTTCACAAATTAAAATGAAACTGAAATAAAAGTTTGAACCATTGCAGATACTACGCGTACTTCTGCATCGAATGAGAGCTATAGGAATAATGCAGATCTACAAGAGTTTTCCATTCGAGTTGGAGACTTCGTAATTGTATCCGACTACTTGGACAGCTTTCCAGGAAAACTCGAAGGATTTGTAAGAAGTAGTAATAACTGTTACGGTTGGGTGCAAGTAATGGTACTGGGCGAAAGAAGTTTATGGTAATGGCCCTAAGTCACCGTAAGAAAATCCTACCACTTGGGTAATATTGATTTCAAGCCATTGGAACTTGAGATAACCGATATTTCTTTCCAGATTTAAAGAAAGCTTGTAAATCATTTTATTGTACATTTTTTGTTAAGAAATTATGTTAGTCTTAAGAATTATGTTTTTTGTGAATCTTAGGACCTATGCAAGTTTCATGTTAGTTTTTGTTCTTTTTTGTTTGAAATTTAATATAAATATTTTTTATACCTAACAAAATGTTTGTTTCTGATTTATCTTGTAGTGTGACTTTAGCCTAAACAATAATAATCACAGAGAATAAAATGTAGCTTGAGACAAAGTTACTCGACACTAGAAGGTGACTTTGCACAACTTATTCCCCTCTGTGGTCTCAATGGTAAGAGCGCCTGCCTTTAAACCTAAAGCTCGTGAGTTTCGAATCCCACCTGGGTGGAAATTTTCGTTTATTAAAAAAAATTAATAAATGAAAATAATTTCTATCCTTGTGTGATCGGTACATCACCGGAGGGACCGCAGACGTTCGGATACAATTAGCGTCTCTTAGCAAAGACAATGACGTCGACTTTGCTAAGTATCAAGACAATTACTCTACACACACAAACACACAAACACACACACACACACACACACACACACACACACACCACACTACATTTAATACACTTATCTTGATTGAGACTGGCTGAATGACAATTGTCCAAGCCAAAACACACACACACACACACACACAAAAAAGACTTTGCACACCACATATTTATTTTTTTTTTTTTATAATAAAGTAAGTGCTTCTTGTGTTTTAGTGTAATTTTTGTAAAAAGTAATCAACAATTTAAATACAAATAAATAAAGAAACATACTTTTATATATTCAGAATACTGAAATCTACATTTAAACTTCGAAAGTGAGTCAAAGTCACCAAGAACCAAAGGACAGACTATGTCAAACAATAAGAAGCTTACACAAAAAATTTAGTAAATATTTCGATCGTATTATCAGAGTCAAGTCAGCAACGATATTTATTTTATATCATCAATCACTTAGATTATAATTTGATTATTATTTTCTGTTGTCTTCACTGCAAGTAATCTATCAATCATAATTTAGCGTAATCATCAACTGCACTATCGCACTCTCGTCTAGTTTCAGATTGAATGCAGTTTATGTAATTATAGCCGACGATAATCTACTACTTACAACAAAAAAATTTGATAATTTATGCACATGACGAGTACAAAAATATAAACATCCACAGGTGCAATTCAGTGCAGTGAACATATCATTTCGTGCCGGTGGTTTCGATTACGACGATTTAGTATGTGAGTATTATTGCATAGGTAATTTACTTCCTACTATTTGTTAGCTGCATTTCTAGCTGCATTCGCCAGTTTTGTTGCATTCATATCGCTGCGTATCGTTGGCAACCAAATCAAGTTATATTTAGCACAACATTATAAACATAAGATATTAGGTCAGAAAATTAACGCTTTAATATTAATTTTAAGGATTTAATAGGATTTTTAAATTTGGTTTTTCTTATTATGTGCTGTTCGTTCGAATGTTACGATGTTTACAATCCTCATACAAACAGTTGACTTAATGTACAAAAATTTTTGTTTTTTAAGTGCACAGCTTCATTATTCTTTAAATATTTGACTCAATTTATTTTCATTTGGTGCAAAGGTGCGCATTTGGATATATTTAACCCCTTACTGCATGATTTTTTTTTTATTTTTTATAAAAAATCTATGCTTACAAACTTGGCTAGTTTTTTGTATTTTTTTTTGTGTCATATATGGCACACTATGCATTAAAACAAGATTCAACAACTAAAATTAATAAAAAAAAATGACGTGTATTACTTTATAATTAAAATAATAATTTGTTCTGAAGCTATTTTCTTGTGGCATTGTAAATTAATTACTATTTAACTGGGAATAAGCCACAATTAAAGATAAAAATACGTGTATTGACGTTTCAATTTCCACTTCGGAAATCGTTCTCAAAATACAAACAGTAAATTAAACAAATTTTGTTTTTTGTTACATAGTGAAAAATTCTTCTAATAATTTAATTTTATCTGACTCATTTATATTGACAATTCAGACATACATTATGCATTTTAAAGTAGACGACTTTAAAATGATATTGCCAATATTGTTGAGTTGCGCTCCTGGGACGACTTTACTTATAAGATAGTTCATTCGATTACATGAAATCAACTTTAACTGGACAATATCCGTCAGAAAAAAAATCATAGCATGTAATTCGTCTTTAAAAAGACAAACACATGACATGATGACAGTAAAATTCTCCTGTTAGTGATTCATAGTAAATTATGAGTGAAAACCAGGAAAAAAACCTCATAATACTATCCCGACATTGTAAGTATTTGTTCGTGAATTTAGTTTACCTTCAACAAACATCAAAATTCTGATTTTATATGTTACGTTATTTAAAAACATAAATGATGTATCCTCTATATGTTACCGACTTACTAATACTGGTATTTTCTTATTAATCAACTTCCTCTCTCAATATTGGTAACCAGATCCTACTACATTCTGCCGAGGAATTTGCGACACAATTGACCTCATTTAGCATAATTAGAGGCGCTTCTTTGATTTTTCTTTTTTTACCATCCGTTTTTTTTAGGACTACATTTGAATTATTCCATTGAACCCTATGTTCATTATCCCATGCGTGTTTACATAATTTACTATGGAATCACTAACAGGAGAATTTTACTGTCATCATGTCATGTGTTTGTCTTTTTAAAGACGAATTACATGCTATGATTTTTTTCTGACGGATATTCTCCAGTTAAAGTTGATTTCATGTAATTGAATGAACTATCTTATAAGTAAAGTCGTCCAGGAGCGCAACTCAACAATATTGGCAATATCATTTTAAAGTCGTCTACTTTTAAATGCATAATGTATGTCTGAATTGTCAATATAAATGAATAAGATAAAATTAAATTATTAGAAGAATTTTTCACTATGTAACGAAAAAACAAAATTTGTTTAATTTACTGTTTGTATATTGAGAACGATTTCCGAAGTGGAAATTGAAACGTCAATAAACGTATTTTTATCTTTAATTGTGGCTTATTCCCAGTTAAATAGTAATTAAAATAATGATTATTCAGTGTGAAAGTTGTAAAAACAATTTGTTTAAGCAAAGAAAAACATTACACTTCTCGCATTTTATGAAGCTTTTTGAACCACAGGGATATTTGCATCTTTGCCTTTCACTATACTATAATGGAAGATAACCATATTCATCTGTTCGTACACCTTGTATTGAAATATTGTTGCTGAACCCCTTCTTTTCTTGTTTTGTAAGTTTTCCATAGCTCCACACGGACGACCTCGGTTTCTAGTAAAATCAGCTTTATTACCTTTGCATAAACACTCTTCTCCTGCCATTTTGAAATCTGCCAGAGCTAAACTATTATGCTCATTCCCACTTCTTCTTCACAGAATCCACGCATTGGCAGTCATCAAATCAATAATATGGAAAAATATACGCATGTACCATTTTTCGATCTGAGTTTGATCCTATAATATCCCAACATTGAATCCAGGAGATCTTCTTCTTCTTTTGGTGTCTATCCTTTGACAGCTACAACTTTGTTGACAGCTGCTCTAAATAAAACAGTTCCCCCAGAATTGGTACTCTACATTCAACTTTTTCAAGAGTTATTTTGTTAAATTTATCAACTGATTTGGTATTCCTAGCTCTTTCATGGCTTTGAACATTTCTCTTCGATTCACAGAGTCGTAGGTGCTTTGTAGTCTATAAAAATGTGATGAGTATTATCAATGCCATAGTCCAGTGTTTTTTCCAAAATTTGTTTCAAGGTTGCAATCTAATAAATTGTCGATTTACCACGTCTAAATCCAGCCTGGTATTTTCCTACTAACCGTTCTGCATATGGTGATATAGTACTGTGGAAAATATTTTATACGCTGAATTTAGAAGCGTAATTCCTCTGTGGTTAGAGCATTCAAAGATATCTTCTTTTTTGTGTATGGTGCAAAGTATTCCAATAATCCAATCATTGGGGACGGATTTCTGTGTCCATATTTTTGTTATAAGCTGCTGTAATGTCATAATGGTTTCATGGCCATCTTCTTTATACAGTTCAGCTGGAAGATCATCTATTACGGGTGATTTACTTCTGGCTAGTTTTTTAACTGCATCTTTAACTTCAAGAATCGTTGGTGGTTCCTCTTCTCTCTCGTCTGCTCCCTTTACCTCATCTCTTTCGTCTTCCAGGTTTTCTTGTTCTTCCTCCACATCAAGTGCCTGGTTAACACCCATCTATTTAATATATTTTGTTAATAGGTCGCCATTCTGACTTCTACATTGTCTTTTCTATTGATGTTGATGTTCTTATGTGGTCTCGTCTAGTTTTACCAGCTATGCTTCATAATATATTCATTTCCAATAATTTAAGAATACCTTTCATTTTATTGTAATTGCAGTTATGTTTTTAAATATCCTTGAGTATTAAAAACTTTCCACTTATTTCAAGTTTTATTTTTTATCAGTCAATTTTTTACTGACAAAGAGGTAATTAGCAATATTTCTATATATACAATTATATAAGTTATCACATATACATCGATATGTTTTTATATTTGCAATAATATGTTTAATTTCCAACAAATAGAGTGATAATAAATGTAAACTCATATAAAATTTCTTTTCTCCTTGACAACCTCCTTGACTATTTTTACCATTGGTTTTATCTATATGTCTTCTGTAAGTCAAAACATGATATTTTTACTTCATTGTACTTTAGAATATATGTTTAGATTTCAGCTTTTTTAACACTCTTTGGTGTAGATACAAATTTTTTAACCATCTACTTATATCAAGGTTTTTAATGAACATGTGTGTTCACAATTAGTATGTAGAAAGAAATTAAGTACACATATTTATTATGTATATTTTAATGTTAATTGGAATTCAAAATTATAATTTTTAATTACAAAAAAAAAATGAAATTCAAACTAATTTAATAAATGCACTTTAACTTTAACTGAGTTAATTCGCTGTGTTTTATTTCTATGCTGGTATTCCTTATAAAGTATAGTTGCGGTCTTCAGATTTGAAGGTTTTGATAGTTTGATATGTCATTAAAAATGTTTATTTTTTAATTAGGTATAGAATAGAATTGCAATATACAAAAATAGTTTTGTTTTTGAGAAGTCAAAGGAATAGTGAAAATTTGACAATACATACATAAGAAACGACAATCACACTATATAAAAATACAAAAACATAAATATCGTTATAATAGGCAAATACCATAGTACTATTGTGTAAAAGGTGTATTTAGGTACTCCGTTATTGAATAGAAACAATGTTTCAAAAAGTGTGATTTCAAAGACACAAAATGACCTTCCTCCAAGCCATCATGAACTACATCTCTCATAATTTTCTGTATAGCTAGTTTAGTGCTACACTTTTTTTTAAGCCATATTGATTACAGTGAAGTATTTATGTTTTCCTAGATATTCTATCCTATGGAATAAAAATCAAACGGAGAATACGTAAACAACTTAAGATACGCAGACGACACCGTCATTATTGCGGACAGTGCTGAGGGTTTACAACGACTTTTGAATGTCATAACCAGAGAGGGAGATAGCTTGGGACTAAATATAAACACAAATAAAACAAAAGTGATGGCTGTTACACGTGCACCAAATGTCGACATTAATATTCGTATCTATAACAAACATATAGAAACCAGTACAAAGATTCCAGTATCTTGGTTGCTGGATAACAAACGATCTTGACCACGAGGTCGAAATACGTGCTCGTATAGAATATGCTAGGTCCGCATTTCAGCGAATGAAAAAATTTCTAATAAACTCTACGTTATCGTTGGACATCCGATACCAATTTGTAAAAACGTTTATTTATTCCATATTGCTATACGGAGTGGAAACATGGACTCTCGGAATTACAAGTATGAGGCGTATAGAAGCCTTTGAGATGTGGGTTTTTCGAAGAAATGCTGAAGATCTCTTGGACAGAGCACGTGACCAACAACGAGGTGCTAAGAAGAATGGGTACTGACAGAGAACTCCTAAATATTGTAAAAAACCGAAAAAACGAGTTATTTAGGACATATCTACAGAGGAGAAAAATACAACTTCCTACGACTTATAATGGAAGGGAAAGTGGAAGGAAGAAGAGGTCCAGGAAGAAGAAAATGCTCCTGGTTGAAGAACATAAGAGACTGGACAGGCATGGACACACATGCGATACTAAGAACAGCTCAAGATAGAGAGCAATT